ATGCACAGGAGACTGTTGTATTACTGGAGTCTTGCATCAGGAGAAGTGCTCAACACATGGCTCACAGCCAGGCTTGGCTCACTGTAGTACAACCACGCTGGGGAAATCACCAAACAACACTGAAAAACTTTCAAGTTCTAATCCAGGGTACGGTACTTCTACACGTTTGGTGTTTGGTCAGTTCCTCTGAGGTGTAACTGAAGAATATCCCTGCTGAAAATTGTTTTTGTTTGTTATAAACTTGAATCTTATAATATTCTATAATTTAGACAAATAGTTGTTGATGGAAGAGAATTTGTTGGAAGGCACCAAAGTCTTATTTTAAAGAATTATTACCATACCAAAAAGGGAAGAAGAAGCAGAGGTAATGCTGTCAAAAAGTCAAATAAATTCTTATATCAAATCAGCTCTTTTATTAAATATGTAATATTTTTAATGAGCAGAATTAAAACCATTAGCCTGTTCTGCATCTTAGCTTTGCTTAGCCTAGCCGTTAGCCTATCTGAATCTTTGTACATGGTCGATTCAAAAGTTGGTCATGGATATTATTTTGTTGGGTTCACAGAAACAGACAATACTATTGAAACTAATGAAAGTCCCAATTTTACAGGGAGCGTTTATCTGAACAGAATCTACTTTAAAAAAAATTTTAAAAATTAAAACACTAACACCTATCACCTATACAGATTATTTATCAGTATATATATATGTTATCTGCTGGTCGCATTCTTAATTACTAGCATGCAGGTTTGTAAAAAATTACTTAAATTGAAGACGGCAGATGCTGTGCATTAATTCAAGAACAATTGCTTCAGGGGTTGATTTTGTAACAACAATTAATTATCCAAGCATGAGACATTACATCTAGCAGACGTCTCCTAAATGTATTGTAACGCAGTTATGTCTAACAAGTAAAATGCCTCTTGTTGCGTTGTATCTGTACTAATATTCTGAGTATCCTGACTGTAAATGAGGAGAGTACAACCTAATGACTTGGTCTCTTTACTGATCATTGGGTTGGGCTTGCAACTAGTGAAACAAATGTCAAATATTTTAACTATTCTCCATGTGTCATACAGTAAGTTGTCTTTGTTGTGTATTTTACTTGTGGACCTTCAAACAACAGCTATTTATACTGTAATAAACCAAAGGTCTTTTTTAAGAGAGAAAAACTAAATGTAAGAGAATTAAATTTTTAAAATGCCACAAGACACATTACATTCTTCTGTGGGCTGTCCTCTTTTCAAATTGTTCTCCCTCAGTCTTTTCTTTTATCCCGACCTTCCCTGCTTTACAGGAAGTCAGTTGGGAACGAGGCTGGAAAACAATAGCGAGGCAGAGACAGTGGCACAAAGAAAACTGGCATTTTGAACAATGCTGGCAAGGAGACTTCTTTTCCACGGATGTTAATGCCAAAGCAGTTTGTCTCATTTGTAAGAAATCCGTTGCTGTACTGAAGGAGTACAATAGTCACTGGCACTTTGACACTGCAGTACAAATTACATATACTTTATTTTTTTAAGCTAAAGGTTGGGTATGCCGGCTTTAAACTGTTACTCAAAGACAAAAAAAAAATCTTATCTTAAAATTATTATTATTATCTGTCACCGTATTCAACGGTGTTTGAATAAAGCTCAGTTTCTCTACTTTTGGGAAAGTAGTTTCATAGGAGAGAGGAAGTACCGTACATGGGCCTAGGGTTGGTTCTTCTCCAAATGTCTTTTCTTCTTAATTCATACACTGAAAACCTGCACAGACAAAGCTGTTTTTGATTAACCTGTTATAAGCTGCTGTAGAAATGGGGAAATAGCAGCGTGTCTATCAGGAGGTTCTCAATGGACTTCAGTTTTTATGTCGATTGTTTGCGTATCCAAAAAAAACAAAAAAAGAAGAAGAAAAAAGAAAAAAACCACCTGAGGCGCTGAAATCTGCTGTTTATCTCCCTGGAAAGGTGTTGTGACAGAGAGAGGGTAGAGTACTTCATTTCCACTGCACACTGTGTGCATGTGTGGATGGATTCTGTACAACTACTATTCCTCATGCCACTATTCTCTCTCTCTCCCTCTGTGACTTGCAGATAAGGAAACGGCTACAGCAGCCATAACAATGTTAGCAGAAACTGACATTGTTTCTGGAGGAAGTGGTAAAGGAAGATTAAAAATAATAAGCAACGGTGCCATTAGAATTTGCAGTAGGCTACAAAAACATTCATTCCCGTTTTTTTTTTTTTTTTTTTTGTTACTCTGCCACTCTGCAGGGACTGATAAAAGTTACGCTGCAGGCAATCCCAGCCTGTATTTATGCAGTTATGCTTACTTAATGGCTCTTAAGGACCGGATGTTGTCGGGTTTTAAAACCAAATTTGGACTAAATGAAATGTTTACTCTACGGATGCACGGACTGCAAACACACAACACATAGTTTATATAAAGCCGTACTGTTGGGAAACAATGGAAATGAGATACTGATCTGTAACAGATATACTGAGCACATCAAGGCAGATGGGTTGGATGGGTCAAGTCAGTTTTGGACGATGGACGGATGAACAGAAGTAAGTGATGGATTAATAGATCGATGGATGAATAATGGATGGATGGATGGATGGATGGGCAGAATTCACTGAGTAAAATCAGTCTCACCATCCACTTTCCACTTCCTAGTTTTCATGGGCCCCACATACAGATCTGTGGTGTGAGGCCAAGGCGAAGGCGAAATGCATTGTCAACAGAAAACCATTATGGACGGAGAGCTGGGTGGATGGAAGTTGTACAGTAACTGTATGTCTTAGTAATTAATGTAAACTAATCCCAGTAAGTAAATTCACTGACTTGAGTGATTCATTAAAAACCAAAGGGTCCGTAAAATGGTTTTCACTACGTAATGACAGCTGCACATGATGCAGGGCCGAGAAGCTGATAACCCATGACAGAGTGAAAATGACAGTACACAGACGGCAGTAATCCGGCTACAATATAAATGATTGGAAAAGCACGGACTGCTGGTTTTGTCAGTGCAAACAGAGATTAGGAGATTATTTTATTGTGAGAAGTACAGTTTGGTTCAGAGTGTGACTTTAGTTTCTGGAATTCAAATGTTTCCTGACTGCAGAGAGATGGATTCAAATGTTTCCTGACTGCAGAGAGAGAGCGGAGCAGAGATATTCGTTACAGATACTACAGTTTGGCTCCTTTTAAACGTATAAGCTGTATTTTATAAACTCAGTTTGCAGAAGGCCTTACAGGAGGTAGAACACAATTATATCAGCAGGACTGGTCAAATCCAGTGGCATTAAGAGAGACCTGCACCCAGAAAGGTTTATTTTGGCATTTTATGATTGCCTGTGGCAGGTTATTAAGCTGTTACGATTCAGACGTGCCCCGAGTTCAAGCCACAGCGCCACGAAGCAATGATGAAGGATGGAAATGGAAATGTGTGCCTATTCATCATGCGACTGATTTATTGTGCTATAACCTCTGTGGTCAGCTGGTAAATAACTCACTGTTCTGTACAGTACTGCAGTGGACGGCGGCTTTATTGACTTGTTCCAAACAAAACATCAATGTTCATTCAGAGCTAGAGATTTTTTTTTTTTCTCTGTGCTTTTTAAGTAGCACTCAAGGGAAAAAAATATCTATTCAATAATTCAAAACTCTGAATCTAATTTCTGGATTTTGTATTTTTTATTTTTACTAACTAACTTCATTTCGTTTGTTATGAACTCATTTGAACAATCGATACCTGACGCACACTGTAAAAAATGAGGACACAGCAAAGGTTAACTCATAGGTCACTTTCATTTTTTAAAGTTTGGAAACAGAGAACACTGAGTGTCATTATTTAGGACGTTTATCACTTTGATCCATCACAACAATAATTTCACCATCTCTCTGCTTATCGTTGCTCGAGTACACAATTGTGAAACTCAGGCTCACGGACCAAATCTGGCCCCTGGTGTAATTATATTAAGGCCACGATTTGAAATAGATCAGATCAAATGTGTATCAGAGCCACTGTATACTGGCAGGATCTGTAGTATTAGAGATGTATGCACGATTATTATAGCACATATATTTTTGGTTGTTCTTTTGTTGGCCTGTTATAAAAATATTTACATGAAAAAGGAACTCAAAAGGGTAGAACTAGAGAGAGACATATTAAGACACATGTCCTAATTTCTCATGTGTTTCCAATATTTAGGTTTGGTTGTACCAGAGTTAATATTTACGCAAAACTATCTGGAGAGAAGGGAAAACACTGCAGTCAACTTTTCAATAAATAACTGAAGTTTTTAGAGCCTCTTGTTCATGCGCTCACCAAGCTAACGTTAAGTTGCACATTAATGACTAAAATCCATCAACTCTGAAATATTTTTTTTTATTGCATCATTTGGATCAGTCACAAATAAGAGCAAGTGTAAAACACAAACATCTACCTGCTGTCGTACTGTCGCAACATTAGGATAAAATGAGTTTTTGGTCAGACTCGTTAATATTTATTTTATCAGAAGTAAACATAATTAATTGTGATTAATTCTACATAAATCATGACCGATCTTGACAACTCAATGATATCTTGAATATTCTTTTTTTTTTCATTAAGTGACCATCATTTCAAAAATCAGTTCTTAAACCCCTAATAAAAATGAATTCTTCCTTCATAGATTCCTCCAGACTCTTTATCTTTTCACAGGACAAAAATCTTTTTTGCTATTTTTCCACTGAAAAACTGAAAAGGAAATCCATCTTCGTGTGTAAAGACTGAGCTTAGTTACTGAATATGTACAGAAAATGTTTTATTACTGAAGGTGTAACATTGTTGTTCACAGTAAACACTGATGGGTTTGTTTATTAACCCTAATCCAGACGATCCACCAGTTCTGCTTCAAACCAGCTTATTTTTCCCACTGCATACGGGCAATAGTTCTGGAGTCAGCAGAACTGAGCGTGCAGCTGGATCTGTGGGACTTCAAAGCTGTTTTTTTTTCTCTGCTCTCTTGCCAGGGTCAACGCAGATAGCCAACTCCTATCTGCCTCCCCAGGCAAGACTTAGACTTCAGACTGTTTGTTTGTGGTTAGTGTTCAAACTTGGCTGCAACATTTGGCGGCCCGGCATCAGCATCATCATCATCAACTACAGCAGCAGCAGCAGAGGCAACAACACATGAGAGCTGCGGCACAGAGAAAAATATGAAAAAGATATATATTGGCAAAACTGCCCTCAAAAGCCAGAGAAATGGTTGCAAACATCAGAAACGAAGGTAAGACGAGCCGGTGCGGGGGAGGAAGTTGTCGAAACATCCGCTCCGTGGAAAATTCATTGAATTCATTTTTGACTAATGCCGATTGATTCTCATCAGGAGATCATGGCCATTAAAAAGCTATTTAAAACATAATGTGGCATGCCTTCATTTCCATCATTCCTCTTCACGTCTCCTGTCATGTATCACAAAAGCGAAGACTGCACTGAATTTTTAGAACAACAGACTGGTGAGAAAACCATTCTCAGACTTAATTAAACTAGTGATCAGAGCCCAGAGTTAATTTTTCACATGAAAACACAATAGCTCTGTGTGATTTCCCAAGCAGCTTTTAGCACAGACCAGGCATGACTAAAGCCCAGCCTGAGGGGGGAGTCGTACCATAAACAGGTTTTATGTGCGCTACAACTTAAATGTGCATTATTTACGGCCCACCAAGACAATCAAGCCGGATGAACAAAACGTACGAGACCGGGGTTTAATTTCTCTGGAGGAATGTAGCCGCCTTTTCATCGCTTTTTGCGTTTATCCAGTGGTGCTATTAAACGCCTAGTGAATTCCAAATTGACCTCCATCCAACTATAAAAACGTTAGTGTTTTGGAATCAAGTGTTTCTAATATTTCTGTGTTGTTTTACTTTAGGTTTATAAAATATTCACAACTGGGTAGTTTGAGTTTAATTACACTGTAATTTGAATAAAAGCTGACATCAAGTCTATTCTGTATGTTTGCACTATCTATCTATCCATCCATCCATCTATCTACCCAACCATCCATCCATCCATCCATCTATCATCCATCCATCATCCATCTATCCATCTAACCATCCATCCATCCATCTATCCATCAATCTATCTATCTATCCATCCATCCATCTATCCATCCATCCATCTATCCATCCATCCATCTATCCATCCATCTATCCATCCATCTATCCATCCATCATCCATCCATCTATCTATCCATCCATCATCTATCTATCTATATTTCTCCCCAGGTACCTATAGGTAGTTTTGAGGTTGCTAACTCTGGCAGTTAGCCATCATTCAAGCTAGTTATTTAAACACAGCAGGCCACAGAGACAGAATAAATCATTTAATTGATTCCAAAGATAATTGAGCAGTTTTTCCCAATAATTCATCTCCCAGATTCCAATGCTAACAGGCTAATGTCTAAAATAACTTTTATTTAGAAAAATTAACCGAGCCTAAACAATTCCATCGGCTTCATAGAGTCAATCCTGGCGCTATCGGTCCTCAATACTGCCCAGCTCTGGCCTAACTGTCCCTGATACAAACTACAACATAAAAAACATAGGCTAATAGGCTAGAGATTAGCCAGTGCCCTCTTGTGGCCACAGACGATATGGGGTATAAGGATGACCAGCCACTGTAACAAACAGATGTGCGTCACATTTGACTATTGATTTCAGTCGGATTCTAATGTGGCTGCCCTTTAAATATACGTCATGACAGACGTCACCTTTTATTTACTTTATTGGCTACCTGATGATGTTCAATCAGGTAGTTTCCCCCAAACCAGGAAGAAATTCAGTCAAATTCACATTAGCCAAAAAGCGGACATCACTGCAGTGATGTAGCTATCACCTCTCCAGTGATTCATCTGCATAGAGCGGAAATAAAAATCCCTGACCGTCCGACTCTAAGGCAACATCTTTAGTCCAGATTTAAAGCCAGCAACCTGCTGACTATTCAAAGTTCAGAGTTTAAACCAAATACTCACGACTAAGCCCACTCACCGTTCCGTGTACTGGCACAGAAGTACTAGTATATCTGTGCGGAGCAGCTCCCCCTCTTTAGTGCTAGCCTTCACACTGAGGCTCTGGGCTGAGGTTAACATGGGGCTGCTCTCATTGTGTCTGCTGGATAGCAGCGCTGAGCCATCAAACCTCTTACTAAGCCACATATCCATCAGTCTGGCAACAGGCTGAATCTCCCAGAGTGGACAAAGCCTCTTCTCCCCATTCCTGGCCTTTCATTACCACATCCATTCCCTGAGTGGAGCCTGTCAGAGTGTGTTCATCAACACCACGCTCAAACCTGCTTCAAACGCACACCTCATCTACTGCTCACAGACCTGGTATGTTGTTGTTGTTGTTGATCTCGGTGGTGAAACTGTGCTACTCTCACCTCTTTTGCTCACTTGTCGCCCTCTCTCATGCTTCCTCGTTACTCCCGCGCCCTCTTTTAAAGGTTCACTCACACACCAAGCCGAGCCTCCTGCTGCATTCTCACCTTTTGTCCTGTGAATCATACATGCTCCCTGTCCACAGGCAGAAACCCTTTCATTTCCTTCAAAGGTTCGTTAGGTAGGGTTGAATAAGTGAATTCACCATCACACCACTGGGAGCAGGTTTCCCAGCTCGGCTGCTTTGCCTTGAATGGGAAATGATTAGTATTCCTCCTCCATCCATCTCCGCCCTCTCCTCTCCGTCGGCCTCACAGGCTGCCCCCTATCTGGGACCTTTCTCACTACAAACTGAATTACACTTCAACCACACTTCATCCCATTCCCCATCTCTGGCACAAACACATGCACACTTTAAGTCTACACTCAATTGACCAATGTTCTGCTAGTTTCTCCTTCCTCCTCCTCCTCCTCCTCCTCTCTCTCCTGGGCTCTGAGACTCTGACAGACCTCATTACTGTTACTTTACCTTCAGAAAACCTGTCTTTTAAACTTCTTCCACCATCTGTCCAGCTCTCTACACGACCACAAGGATGACCTCCGTAAGCGCCTGTCCTACACCACCCACAAATTAGAGATGGTGGAGACGGAGTTCGAATCCACCCGGCAGTACCTGGAGACAGAGCTCCGTCGGGCCCAGGAGGAACTGGAGAAGTTTACTGAGAAACTATCCAGGTGTGAACGCTAATATAATAATAATGTTCAGCCTTCATGCTTTTTCATACTGTCAGATAAGTGAACATTGGTTTTAATAAAACAGTTTTTCCCTAGATGTTTTTTTAAAAGGCCAAACAACAAAGAACATTTGTTATTTATCAGTTTTACCAAACAGTGTTTATGGTGAATTTGGTAGAAATCATTAGCAGATTTTAGAATACATAAATATGATATTTTAATAATTTAAAATTTTTCTAGCTTCAATTTAATTTTATTGGTTAAAGTGCATTAAATGTTGCTCAACTTTAGGCCTAACCTTTTTTTTTTTTTATGCGACTTTGGTCAGATTTAATGACATAATCATAAATGTTTACACTCAAAACTAATTAATTTAAATTGATTGGCCCTAAGGTACTTTATACATTTACCTCTTTAATGAACTATATTTTATCGAAAGGTAATTAGACACATTTTATAACCTAATCAAGGTCTGAAAAGACAAAAGGTGGACAATATTTAATTAAATTATGTCCACGGTGGCGTATATGTACGTGTGTGAGTGTGCACACAAACGGTTACTCCAAAGATTTATGGCTATTTCTGGGTATTACGAACAAATATACTGATTTAGTGCTTCTCATTAACATTCTGCTCACGAAACATCATAAAAAACCCAACGGCAGGACTGTATATTATGGGCTTTTTTAACAACCCATCACTGAAAAATATGTCTAACATAATCAGAAAGGTTCTAAAATGAATTCGATATCCAGTGAACTATGACCTTTTGTCACTAACACTGCAGATCAGGCAGTTTGATTCAAGTATATAAAGCATCGTTGACAGCAGAGGTCTGAAACATGATCTGAAGTCAGGGATAAGAAATTCAAGACATGAGTTTGAATTTTGGTTGTAAGACAAACCATTCCAAACTATTTGATCAGGCTGCAGTGTTTTTGTCTCTGGCTGTGTTATAAATAGACGTTCTATTAAACATGTCACTTCTGTTTTAAACTAGGAAGAGTAAATTGGACGAGAGACAGTGTGAACCTTTTTAAACATTCACAGGAGACTCGCTCTTCCTGCTGTGCACAAATCCCATCTATCTTCTTCTTCTTTTTTTTCTTTTTTCACAATTAGCAGAGGTCAACTTTGCTTTCTGCCTAATTTTAACTGTCTGAGTGATTGTTAGAATCTGTTTGAGTTTTCTTTTCTCCTCCTGTTAATTAGGATCCAGAGCAGCTATGCAGCTCTGCAGCGGATCAACCAGGATTTGGAGGAGAAGATGCACAGGACGGTAAGACACTGAAACACGACCGCCGTGACACGACAACTTGTATCTCACTGAGAACAGTTAGCTTACAGAGCAAAGATGGACATAAGGATAACGAACCTGAAGATACATTTTCAACAGTAGAAACAGAGGTTTAACACCTACAGATGTTGAATGTTAATGTTTTATATCAGAATCAGAAATTACTTTATTGATTTCCTGAGGGAAATTCCTAACGTTACAAGACACTCCCGGGTGAAAGTGGGAAAAAATGAACAAAGATAAATTAGAATAGAACAAAAAATGGAAATTCCTAACGTTACAAGACACTCCTGGGTGAAAGTGGGAAATAAAATGAACAAAGATAAAATAGAATAGAACAAAAAATAAAATGTAAAAATAGATAGAAAAAAAAGTATAAATGACACGGTTAAAATAAAGCATCAGTAGCAGAATTAGGCAAAAGAATTAGCTAGATGCACCATTGTACACACATGTCATACTGTTATAGTCTTGAATATTGCAATGTACTGTAATAACTACTATTAACCACATATAACAACGTCTACTATTGTGTTTATTTTGAATTTCCTCTTCTTGTTGTGAATATTAATAATTATTCTCAGATCTTTATAAACAATCATTGTTAGCATCAAATAGCTATATTGCGATACAGTACGTGGCTCCTCTCAGCTACAGCTAGCTGCTCAGTGATTATTGTGGGTCAGATAACAGCACACAAATTAGTGTAATCCACTGAAGCTAAAAGCTGAACATATTGTATATATATATACACTGTATAATAATTGATTTATTTTAACTGGGAAAATGTAATGAAATTATCTGAGCTAGCAGTAAACAGATATAAGGTGAGTTAGCATGTAGCTTATTACAGATAACAGCAAAGAAAGGTTAGTTAGAAAGGTAAGCCAGTGTATAGTTTTCAGCAACTAGTTGCTAACCAACATGTATAGTTTTCAGCAACTAGTTGCTAATCGAGGAGCAAGGCTACCGTTAGCTGTTTTTAGGTCTTAATGATTGCAGGCTACTAATGGTTTAAGACCAGTACACTGTTAGCGCTGACTTTAACTTCATCTTTATCTTGCACTTATCTGATGCTAATTTCCAAATGCAGCTACTGTTAGTAGTTTTGGAAAGCGGCTAAAAATAAAGGTGCTTATCAGTAAGAAAACCCAGCGCCAACAACTACATCATGGATAGAACAAAGTACACACTCTTTTTTTTTCCTGTCTTGTTAGTACATTTTTCCCCAGTTATTTTTAGTAACGTAAATGATGATGGAGTAACTAATTTTAACCATTTTGCCCCGGGCATCTGAGTCCCTGCTGCTTGTATAGCTTCACAGCTCTGTGAATAACTGTACATTCGTCTGTTTTCTCTCCGAGAGCTCTGTTTGTGTGAGCGCCGTGCTTGTTTGTGTTCATATTAGCAGGAAGCTCTGAATCCTAATGGTGTCTCTGAGTAGCACAGCTCTCACCATGACCCCTCTTAATAGACGTATGAAGTCCTCGGTGATTTGAGAACTTATCCACGTAGCAGCTGGACACACAGACAGCAGAATTCAACATTATCTGACCCTAAAGCTGACCTGGAATCATTTATTCATGACCAAGAAGTCCTCCAGTTACTGTGAAACCAAGCAGCTCTGTATCACACTCTCGACATGCTTTTCCTTCGAGATCTAAACCATATGGTTAACAAAACAATTGTCATGGAGAGGTTACAGTTTGCTCAACTTTGCAACAAATACATATAACTAAAAAGTCACCAGGTCATTGTCGGTGGAGTAAATTACTTATTGTTTCCTCCTTAAATTTTTTGTTTTTACTTAAGAACCTCCTTTAAAGATGACATTATACGAGTAATTTCAAGAGGTGCTTATCTGAACAGACCGACAACTAACAGATAAAAGACTGACACAAGAGGAAAAAAAACAAAACAATGACTATTATGAGTTCACGCAAGTTCACGTTTTTAGCAATTTAACATGCAAAAAAAATTAGCTTTGGATACATTATATTTAAATGTCAGAAAGCCATCCTTAGAGCCGTTTTTAAACCCAAAAGAAAGCAAACGCCTGGGTTTTATATTCAACATATGACAATATGTTGACTATTTTTGTACTGTTAGAGAAAAAGCTGTTGATGTAGGAATGGCTAGAAAGGGCTGCAAAAAGTCATCCCTTAGAAAACATTCACGAGAAGGTGCCTCTGGTCTGGTCAGCGCTGACTGCAATCGTCCTAATTTGTATTAATTACTCAACATGAAGGGGGTCGTGTAATATAATCTACATCTGCATAAACAAACATAATGTAATTACAGTATTATGTTAAGTACAGGCACGGATGCTGGGAAGGTTTGGCTGCGGTTGAAAAGAAGAGAAAATAGTCCCAGACTGAAGAACAGAAGAGTCTCGATGAAGGAAAACCTTCAGATTTCTGATCACACTGAACGACATGATGATGAGCAATGGTTTCGTGCATCCAAGAAGACTTTAGAGAATGAGGATAATAATGATGTCCCCCCCTCGCCCCCCCATCATTCCCTCGGCCTCTCATGTGAAAAATGAGAAAAATGAGAAATCTGTGAAATCGATGGGAGCACACCTGTTTAGCAGCTGGACCACTCTCTTCTCTCTCTGAGCAATTACATGATCAAAGGCAGGAAGCACAATCAATGTCCAAAGTAATTGGTCTTTTCTGCCGTGCAGCCCTGTTAGAAAACTGTTAGAGCTAACTGCTGTCCTGATCACCTCAGCAGCAGCTGTCCAATCACATCAGCTGGAGAGCTTTCTCGGGAGTTTCCCTCCTCGCAGCCTCAGCTCCAGGACTCATCAGACAGAATCAGGGAAGATGGGTCGGTTTCACGGTAGAGGACCACTCTCATGACTTACGCCGTGTCTGATTACGATGGATCGCAACCTCGTCAGGTGTTTTGATCCACGATGTTTGTTTGAGCCGCTTATAGAAGATAGGATGGGAAAGATAGAGGAAACAGTCGGATGAATTTGAAGGTTTCACATGATTGTTGTTGTTGCTGCTGCCAGAAGTTGATGTTGAACATTGTCCATAAAAGTGAGACTGATGTTGAACATTGTCCATAAAAGTGAAATGTCCAAAGCAGAACTAGATATTTAGGGACACTGTCTCTTTAACTTGACCATCCAACTCTACATACATCACTACTATATCTATGGTTCTTTTATGGTTATTTTTACAGAGTGACTTAGAGAACCACCCGACAACAGTCGACCTAGAAGAGATAAACATACTGTAGACAGTAAGCGAGGGAAGGACGAGCTAGCCTGCGATTCCAAACCCTGCAGCCAGTGTTCCAAAATATACCCAACACCACGACGGTGAGAATCTAATAAATCTGTAAAAGCAGCAAATTGTCTTCTTTTTAAACACTTCTGACTTGTTCTCAATTATCAACTATTAATTTCCTCCACTGCAGCAAAACTTGAAGAAGAAAATTAAACTCATTAGGGTTTCGTCCCCCCCACCCCTACCCGGAAATATAATCAACAGATGTGACAAAATTCATTATCGTGTCCACAATAAGACCTGAAACAAATATTAGCATTGAAGTCTGATGAAGTCTGATACGGCCTGCGTTGATGATTCGAAATTGAAACAATGACTTTGTCCTCCTACATATTTGGCTCTGTATATATATATTTATATATATAGATTATTCAAATATACAGATCACAACAATCGACAGCGATGACGAGAAGACACCGCCTTTATTTGAATGTATTGCAGTGTACAAATCCCCGAGTTCTGGTCCGTGTTGTTGAACCAGCGAGGCATGAAAACTGTAATAAATCAGCGCAGACGTAAAGCAGAGCGTGATACATTCAGGTGACAGCCAATAACAACAGCATCTGTCTTCGCTGTGTTCTCCGTCTCGCCTCGCTGACATCCCCACGTTATCCTTCTTGCTTCGTTATATCATGACGACACTGAGAGCTCAAAGTACCTTTCCTGCACGACTCATTACTGTTGCACTGTACCGACATACATCAGTGTAGTCATGTAAAAACTAAAACTGTGTGATTGTCTGTCCAGCAGAACAGTCAGGAAGAAGAAATGCACTTTTCATAGCTAGGGAAGGTTTTTTTTTTTTTTTCCTTTCTTCTTACAGCGAGGGATTGCCTTTCTTTTGATGTTGTGTCACACGCTGACATTTCAAAAGTCGGGGTGCGCTCCTTTGTTAAGAACGTTACAGGCAGTCAGTCGGCAACAAAGGCGGCTTCAATCAAATCGAGCACATAATTAAAAGTTCTGAGAGGCCCCAGGCAGCAAGGTCAGCTGAAAAACAGCACAGGATGAAGCTGTTTCATAAGGAGAGGAGCAACAAATGAACAACTGAAAGATGTGACGAGGTGCTTGTTGTAAAGAAACGGCGGGGGCTTCAGTCAGGACTGATCTGGTCTGCAGATAAAAAAAAAAAACTCAACTGATGAATTCCATGTTTGTCCTTCCAGGACGAAAAGGCATAAGAAACAGTTGTTGAGGAATGTTTTTTGTTACTTAATACAGATAAAAAATATAATTTTAAATAATTTTTTTAATCATAATCTGTAATGTAGGACTATAAACGTTTCCAAAGCTTTTAAAAAAACAAAAAGAGAAACCCCCCCCCCCCCCCCCCCCCACAGCCCCAACCCTCACTCCGCAGGACACAAAACAATGACTTGGACTTTCTGCAGTATTGTACTGACACAGTACCATGCATTAAGGACACAGAGAGGAATTTTCACTGGTGTCTCTGTAGACACATCAGTGTTAGTTTCCCTTCCAGTCATCTGTCTGTTGGTCATTTATCTTCAGGGAACCAAGCCAGCGCCGGTGTTTACATCTAAAACTCCTAAAACAAATTGAGACATTTTTGCAAACTCCAAAAAAAAAAAAATGTAAATATTACTGTCATTATTGACAAATTCTAGGGCTACTCTATTACAAGCTTAAGTGGTGCACAGATTGAAAAATAAAAAAATTAACTTTTTTTGGCTTTTGACCCCATTTTGACGTCACAAATTTCTGGCGACCTCAGAGATATATTAGCAGCTGTCACTCGTGCAGTCGGCTGACTGAGGCCATCAATCAAGACGCACCAGCTTAGATACTGTTTGGCTTTTGACCCCATCGGCTTTGTCCCTTTTTCAGGGATTTCCATCTCTCCCTGTTCTCTGTATCTTCTACTCTGACTCCAACTATCTGCATGTCCTCCCTCACTGCATCCATATATCTCCTCTCTTTCTCCTACCTGGTAGCTCCATCTCTAACATTCTTCTACCAATGTATCCTCTGTCCCTCCTCTGCACATGTCCAAACCATCTCAATCTGGCTTCTCTAGCTTTTTCTCCAAACCTTCCTGTCTGTGTTGTCCCTCTAATGACCTCATTCCTGATCCTGTCCATCCTTGTCACTCCTAAAGATACTTGAATACTTAAAGATACTTAGATACTTTTATATGCTGCAGTTTAATTTCTATTAAATTTCTATTTTTCTTCATGTAAGTGTAAGAATGCAGTTGTTTCAGACTGTGTAAAGCACCACACAATCTGAAACAATTATTGATTTATTTAACAAGGACAAGAAGCAAACGCCACATATTGGTCAAAGTGAGAGACATAAATGTCCTCTGAGTCTGTACTAAACTGTACCACGTCCAGAGTAACAGTGTAGTTCCATCAAGTTCTCCCGGGTCCATAGATGGAACTATTTCAGTTTCAGAGTTTCTAACCACTTCAAAACAGACCAAACGTAACTGTGAATGCTCGTAAACGAAGGTCAATTCTCCTCATTTTCTGCACTAAACAGACTAAACAAAGATGTTTTCTGTCTCGAGGTTGATCAATGGAGTGATCAATAATGAAATATGACTGTGAGACACAGCGCTCCTCCCAGCGTCCCAGAGTGCCGCTGTGTTTTAGCTTCCTGTCCAGATACATTCATCCACTGCCTGCCATAAACAATCTGCATGATTAATGTTATTGATGAGGCAGCTCCGGTCTAATCCACGAGGCTTCTGAACGGCACTGTTTGTCAAGGCTGTTGTAAAAACATAATGGGATCAATATCGTTTGGTCTGGAACACAACGGAGAACACACCAGTGTTTGTAAAGTGATGTACATTCCATCTGAGGTTGCCGCACAAAGTCTGTGCTTGTAAATACTTTATGTGTGGCTCTGACGGAGTGCAGTGAGAGCGCGGCCATCAGACACGTCGCCGAAGATTTAAAGAGTCTTTATCTGTTGTGTGTTGGTTTGAAAAATGCTTTTTAATCGGTTGGGAGAATCTGATTTGATTAGTTTTGTCTTTTTTCTCTCCCTCTCCTAAATAAGACCTCATTTAACTGAAGTGGAGCTCTCTGCTCCCTGCTCTGAGGCAGTAATTGCATCTCCTGGGATTAAAGCTTCATTTCTCCAGTGAGGAGGAATGAATCAGCGGCACAATAGCTACAACAAAACACATTTGTGTGTGTGAATTTTTATTTGATAGTTTTAGTGCATGTCGTTCAACAGATCATCATTATCAAATATTAAAGCTGTAATCTTGTCAGTTACTGGTTCAATAAATATGGGCAAAAAAAGATGGTACAGAAAGTGGGTACAGAGATTGTTTGGTGCTGGAGACATGGACGTGCCCATGGACACAGACATGGACATGGACGTGACCATGGACAAGGACATGGACATAGGACACAGACATGGACATGGACGTGACCGTGGACATGGACGTGACCATGGAAAATGCTAAATGAATGCGAGAAAGAAGCTCCGGCTCCTGAACAAACACTTCACTCTCCACAGACTAGAACCTCCAAGAGATAAATGTCATTTGGACTGGATGTATAAACAGTTTACTCTTTCATACCAAAGTCTATAGATGAAATCAGAGATTTCACAGACAGAACAAAGAAGTTTTTGATCCACGACTGCTTTAATTAGTGAGCTCAAAAAGTGTTATTCGACGCCTGCGGGGTTTGAAAAGACTTCTTTTAAATTTACCTCCGTGGCACAGACCTTACAAATGAGGCGGTAAGAGACCAGGGCACTTTCTGTTCCGCCGAGATAAAAATATTGATTTTCTGTATGAAGTTTGTGCAGGAAATTCAGAGATTTAAACAAAAATAACACCGTCCTCAGACACTGTAATCTTAGGCTGTCCTAGATATAATTAGACGGTCGCAGCATTGAATATGAACATGTGTCAAGTTTTCATCTAATTAGGCTTCAAGATGTCCGCACCACCCTTTCAGTTGGTTATATTTAAATTCCACTAGGTTCTATTTCTTCTTCTTTTTTTAAAAAAAATTGGTGCTGAAAAGATTATAAATATTAATAATACAGGAGCTGCAATGCGATAAGAAACAATATCCCTTCTCATCCACCTTCAGGTCACGCTCTTCAAATCAATATTTGCATATTTATTCACCTTAAAGCTGCTTTCCTTTATTTGCGGCACCAACTGATAAGAATGCCCGGCTGACAGGCTGCATATCTGAGTGAGTGAAGGTGATGGTGTGATCCTATTGTGTTTTCCCTGACGCTGTAATTAAATTTATACTTTCTCTTCTCCACCAGAATCCATAAAAAGATCACGGTCGCGCTTTAACACGTATCATAACCGCGGAGTACGAGACAAGAAGCAGCAACCCCCAAAAAAAAAAAAAAATCAAAAAACTCACACAGACACTTTCTCACCGCAATTTTATCTAAGTGACAAAAATTATTTTGGAGTCCATAAACCATCACATTCATCATTGCTGAGATAAAGACATGGGGAGCAATTACACACCGGTGAGATTTCCTGACGATGCGGCGGTGGCACGGTCAGCATCACCAGACACATCCAGAATAATGAGCTGCGGAATGAGTGAGTGCCAGAGAGCCCGGTGTTTTGACAGCTGATTAATGAGACGCTAACAGAATTGGATTTGAAAATCAAAGCCTGGTCTATCGTTTAAACTGACATTAATTGCCACCTATTAGATTGGCTACGTAGCCCTGCATTTCAAAAACAATCGCCGGTGTGGAGAGATTAGAGGAGAGAGGAGTGAGAGGGCGAGTCAGAGCACAGAGTCGTGTCATTTGTCACCAGCTGCTGCTGCTGCCTGCCTCCTCCTGCTGCTGCTGCTGCTGCTGCTGCTGATGATGATGATGATGATGCTGCTGCTGTTGCTGGGTGGCCTGTTGTACAATTACTAACCTCTCTGTGTGTGTGTGTATGTGGGTGTGTGTGAGTTCAGGTGTAATAAAGACTGGCCAAAAAAGAACATTTCTCAGCCAACAACAGCAGCCATTACTGGTCCCTTATGGCTGCGGCGTTAACTGCAACCTGCAATAAAATAGTGACGGACAAAATTAAGAAACTCATAATAGTCATTTCAGCTCAGGGTCCAGTAAATCAAGTGTGTATGAGCCAACAGCTGGTGGGTCGTCACTGTGTCTTCGTTCGGCTGTTGTTTTCAGGGGTCGCAGCCACAGTGGCTCATCTTCCTCCATCTTGTCCTGTGCCCTGCCTCCTCTGCCTTTTCTCCAACTATCTCGACGTCCTCTTCACATCTTCACTCTCTCTCTCTCTCTCTCTCTCTTTCTCCACACGTCTTGTTCCAACCATCTCCACCTCCATCTCCCCAACTTTATCTCCAAACTGCTCCACCTTAACTTAACTGATCTGCTCATTTCTAACCCTGTTCATTCTGGTCACTCCCAATGAAAACCTCAGCATCTTCATCTCATCACATCATAGCAGATCTCACTACTGTTTCATAAACCTGACCTTTCGACATACTGTCCATTTTCTTTGGATGGTTGACGCTATCTATTTAAACTCATCCACCTTTTTTACCTCTACACCTTCATCGTCACGCTCGTCTTACAGGACCATCATCCTGTAAGTTAATGTTAATGAATGCCATAACAAACCCCGCGGCTAAAGAATTAATTAAGAGTAAGAATCAATGACAGTATAAACACGAGCAGTCGTCGTGGAGTTGTGCTGTTGCCTTAAAGCCAACTTGTTCCCCAGTTGGTGAGTTTTAACGCTGTGAACGATGGAACAAGACTTTCCTTTTAAATGTATGGCCGACGGCAGCATAACCTCGAAACACTGTAGATCAAGGTCGTCGTAAACTATAGACCTCCTGTGTTTTCAAACCCAAGATTAAAAATAATCTGCAAACAGAAACGTCTCCATATTTACAGAAAAACAAAGTTTCATTAAAAAAAATAATCTCCCAAACACCCCAAAGTGTTTTTAATCTCAGGCTTCATTAATCTTAATCTTAGCGTGGGCAGAATATGAACGTTTAAAAGCACACAGTTTCCTGAGAGCATCATTAAATATGGAGACATGAGGTTTTCTACCCAATGATCTGATCTAAATTTTGTGATAAGGCGTCTTACAATTCGATTTTTGTGTGTTTGGTAATAGAGGTTAAAAAAAAAAACATTTAAACGTGAACTAGACCTCAGGACAGTCTGACCAGCACTAGACGAAGCCGTTATCAGACGCCGCTGTCACTGTGCCTTTTATTCTTCGACAGAAATTAAAATAAAAGATGAGAGTGTCTCTTTCTCAGTTCCTCTCGTTCTCTTCCTCTGTTTCTATCGCCTCCTAACTCCCTTAGCATTTGATATGAGATGAACTCTGGCAAGTGTAATCTTATTTTAATTAAGACCTGCTGCTGGCACCAGCCTCGCACTGATAGGAACTTCAGACTTTCTTCCCCCCTCCCCCCCTCCCCCTGTGATCTCCGTCTCTCCTCCAACACTGGCTCTCTCTCGTTTCTCCGTGTCGTTATCTGGACCCTCGACTACTTCCTCTCACCCTCTCCCCCTGTTCTTATCATGTTCTCTGTCTACAGCTGTCATCCTCTTCCCAGCATGTTTTTTTTTTCTAACTTCTCTTCTTTTCCTCTATGCGTTCACATTTTACTGCAGTCTCAGCACCATGAAGAGGAGAAGAGAGCCCTCAGCCGAGAGATCATCGTCCTCAACAACCACCTGATGGAGGCCAAGATGACCATCAACAAACTCAGAGAGGACAATGTGGGTACACACGAACGGAACGTTTCATTTCCACCCACGTCTCTGACATCACGGGGCATTAGCCGTCTGCTGTGCTGCAGTTAGGGTCGCTGCTGTTACTGTCATTTCACTAGGGGGCGATGTCAGTTATCGACGTTCAATAACAAATAAAATAATAAAACAGCGCAAATATAATCAATGAATGAACAAAAAAGAGGAAAAAAAAAGTAAAAACAAAAACATCGTTTTTGACATCATCTACTGTAGGTGTGGGCCAGATTGGGAGGAGCTTGCGGACCAGGAGTGGCCCCCGGGCCGTTTTTTTTAATTAAGAAACTGGTTTTACTCCAAAAGACGAACTAAATTTCCGGTCTAATTACTTTACTTTGTTGCTCAATCTAACACTGAAACCACGTTGCTAGGTCCAGTTTTTATATGCAGTCTATGATTTAGCTCCAGGCTTGAAAAGAAGCCAATTAATCGTACATTAATTCAAAAGTACCACACTTTGTGATTAGTAAGCGGGGACTCCGTTTAATATGTAGGCTTTAATATGTAGCTCATTATTACCTTTCCATTCACAGTCGCTCTGTTTAATTCAACAGTAAAGCAGCAGGAAGGGAGTAGGTCCTATATAGGAGTGGGGGGGGGGGGGGGGGGGGGTCATAATCCATGCATGCAAATTGCGAGATAATGAACTCCAGTCTTATACAAAACCATGAGAAATTAATTACTATACTTAGAATACATAGCAGTATAGTATAGGGGTAAGACCGTTTCTTCAGACCTCAGGAAAAAAAAAATGTTGCCCTGTTTGTTTTCCCACTACACACGCACACACACACACAACTCACAGAAGCTTAGACTTCACAGGAGACCCTGAGAGCCGCGATGGTTTTGAACTATCCACAATAACAACAGGGACCACTAATGCCCCCCTAGTGTCTGAAACAAAGAAACAAATGCCCAGTGACGGCTAAATGGTGTGAAGGTTGAAGCCGTCACAGAAACAGCTTTGATGTTATTGGATTTACTGTCACCAGTGCAGCAGGAACTCACCTTTCATATGAACAGATTTCACAGTGGAGTCGGAGGAAGAGAGAGGGAAAAAAAAACAAAAAACACCCACACAAACACATGCATACACACACACACAGAAAAACAAACCTAACTGAGCATCTGCTGTGCGAACAGACCACCCTCACTTTTTAACTCCCAATCTGA